TTCTTTTGTCTGGGAAGCTTCTTATTTGGCCTTCTATCTTGATCGAGAGCCTTGCTGGATATAGTAGCCTTGGTTGCAGACCTCTGGTTCTCATTACCTGGAGTATTTCTTGCCATTCTCTTCTGGCTTGAAGAGTTTCCATTCAGAAGTCAGCTGTTAGCCTTATTGGGGCTCCCTTGTATGTTACTTCCTTTTTCTCTCTTGCTGCCTTTAAGATTCTCTCTTTGTCTTGAAATTTTGTCATTTTAATTATGATGTGCCTTGGGGTGGGTCTCTTTGGGTTCCTCTTGATTGGGACTCTCTGTGTTTCCTGGATTTGTGTGACTTTTTTCTCGTCAAATTAGGGAAGTTCTCCTTCATTACTTGTTCAACTAGGTTTTCGATCCCTTGCTCTTCTTCTTCTCCTTCTGGTATCCCTATTATACGGATATTATTACGTTTCATATTGTCTTGCATTTCTCTTAATCCCTCTTCATTCTTTCTGAGCCTCTTTTCCTTTTCTTGCTCTTTCTGGATACTGTTTTCTACTTTGTCTTCCAGCTCGCTAATCCAATCTTCTGCTTCATCAATCCTGTTTTTCATTCCTTCTACTGTGTTCTTCAGTTCAGAAATTGTATTCTTCATTTCCTCTTGACCTTTGTTGAGAGTTTCTATTTCCTTTTTCATGTTTATATAGTTTGCAGTGAGATTGATGTAGTTTCCCTCTAATTTCTGAAAGCTCATTGTGAGTTCATTGAACTTCCTGGTAATCATTGTTTTGAACTCACTATCTGATAGTTGAGTTGCCTCTATTTCATTTAGCATTTTTCCTGAGGCTTCCTCATTTCCCTTCAGTTGGGGGTTGTTTCTTTGTTTTCTCATTGTTCGTGGGTTTCTTCTTTTTTCTTCTTGTTTGCTAATTTGAACTGTTCTGATTTCCTGTAATTATGGTGTGAACTTCTGTGGTAGAATATTTGTGTGTTTCAGTGGTGCAATCTCCTTCGTGTATCCTGGTGTTCACAGCTTCCCCCTACTCTTTTTTTGGGATCAGTTGGAGGAGTAAGGCAAAATGGTTTAAAACAGCAAGACAGTATACTATGACATTTACTTTAGCAGCCAGTAGAGAAGAGATGGGTTATCCTTTGGCTCCTTATAGTGTTAACCGTGATCCTCCACCCCACTATCCACGTTTTAGAAAGGATGGAAAGAAGGTAAGACTCTTATTGGGGCCGAGAGGATTGTTAGTTGGATCTAGAAAGCTGTGAGGCTGTGGGAGGTCAGCTTCTAAGGTAGGGTTGGACTAAAGACTAGTATATAGGAGTAGTGAGTAAAAGAATAGAGCCAACCCCCACAATAGTATAGTTCAGAAAATTGCAAAGTGGGCTGAGATCAGGTAGGGGTATTGAGAAGCATTTACAACTGTATAGACTAGGTCTTACTAGCAGTAATAGTAAAGTGACAGTCTTGTGGCAGAATCGATGAGGTCTAGATAACAAGAATAAAGAGTATAGAACCTTGAGAGGTGTATTAATGGAACACAGATGAAGGATAGTAACTAACTTATCAACACCTTGTGACTGAGATACCAGGGGGAACCTATCAAATGACAGTATAACCAGTCAAGCAAAGAAGATTATACAGAAAGAAAAAGAATACCAAAATATTATTAAAATAAAAAATGTTGGAAAAGTGAGAAAAAGATAATACAAGTTTACAGTAACTTGCAAGATTAAAAAAAAAGAAAGAAAAGCAGAAGATGTAGTGCAGGAGAGATAAACTTGGAGTGGAAAGAATAATATTAGGTTGAATGGAAGAGAAACATAAGGGATTGCGAGATAAAAATAATAAGAATTGAAAAAAAAGTCACATAAAACACAAGATAAAATCAATCAACCAACAACAGCCAGAGAAACCAAACCAAACCAAACCAAACCAAAAAAAACAAAAAACAAAAACAAAACAAAACAAAACAAAACAAAAACAACCAACCAAACAAAAAAAAACCTCTTGTTGGTTTCTAACTGGCCAGACCAGTTTTTCTGATCTTGCTGGCTTCAGCTGGCTGAGGGGCCTTTGAAATGCTTCTCTCTCTCCCAGCCAGATCTCAGCAAGTGTGTCAGGTACCCTGGGTTCTCCAGAACACACTGGCGTGGGAGAGTCAGTCTTCCCAATGATGGTGCGCGAGCCCAGCCATTTCCAGCTCCGTGTTCCCCTCTGAACCACCCACCGACCGGGTGTTGGCGCCTTTCCCGGCTCCCCCAGTCGGGCTGGCTGGAAATCTCTGAGCCACCACTGCAGGAACGCACCCAGCCCCACGTCCCTCCCAGGATCACAGCGCGAGATTCCAGAATCGCGATCTCAGCGCTCGATTCCGGCCTCCCTATGGGGCACGAGCCGAGCTCGGCTGGCTTGTACTCTCCACCGATCTGCACTTCCACGGGGCTAGAGATGCCCCTGGTCCTGTCGGCTAGAGGTTCTCACTTCTCCCCGTCTCTGGGCGGGTGTTCATATTCCCTGGGCGATTTTTTCTCAGTCCAACTGGCCAATCTGTTCCTTCTAGCAACCCGTTCTCCCCTGGAGTTGCTCACCCCCGTATTCGGGGGAGGGAGGGAGCAGCGGCTTCCCTCTCCCGGGATCCCTAGGGCAGAGCCCAGAGCTCCGGGCAGGCCTGGGGTCTGTGCACCCCCAGACCCCGCACTGATCCCTGGGCCCCTTTTGTCCTGTATCAGACTCCTTACCGTCTGGTTTTCCAGTGAGTGCAATAATTTCTGATGTCCTGCTTTCAAAAGTGATTCGGCAACCCAGCCCACTTGCTCTGCCTCTCCACCAATCCGTGAGTTTCCCCCCTCTTCACAGAAGCCGAGAAAAACGCTGCCTAGAGTAAAGCCGCCATCTTCCCGACCTGCCAGAATCATCACTTTTTGAGAGAACTTCCTTAGCACTTTCCTTCTCTTCCCTCTAAATTTAGCTTCTGGGGCACTAAAGAGACAGAGGTTCATACTTGGTGGAAGATTTATAGACATGGGTTAGGAAAGGGTGTCGAGACAGAGGGAAACACAGGGTGATGATGTCTTAGTCAAGGAATCACAGAAGTTTAGGACAGAGCAGTCTTCACAAATGATGCCGGTCCATTTCAAATGTGTTTTTAACAACAAAATTCTTTTATAAATAAAACTTTCTAATGGGAGAAGGGTTGGGGGATGAGTGAAAATGATGAAGGGATTAAAGAGTATAAATTGGCAGTTATAAAATTAGTCACAGGGAGGTAAATTTAAGTACAGCATAGGGAATATAGTCAATAATTTATAATAACTATGTGTGGTGTTATACAGCCACTAGACTGATTGGGGTGATCATCTCATAAGTTACATAAATGTCTAAACACTATGCTGTACACCTGAAACTAATATAATATTTTATGACAACTGCATAATTTAAAAATGAAGGAGAAATGTTCCACGAGGGAGGAGGGATTCCTCAAGCATCTTAGATATATATTATTTTGTGAACAATAATTCATGCCTGTTGAGACTTAGGAGTGCTCAGTCTCTTGCTCATCATTTATAAGGCTGTGATGAAATCCAGCCCTTCTTGTTCAGATGCAAGGACTGAGGCTAGAGCCTGGATTCTGGGTGCATTTTAAAGGTGAAAGAGGTAGGATTGCCTGAGGAATTGGCTGGCAGGTGTGGGAGAAACAGAGAAGGTTGAGGACTTCACTAAGGTTTTGTCCTGAGTGACTGGAAGGATGCAGTAACCATCAATGGGGAAAAGGAAAACTGAGAGAAAGTTTGGAATGTAAAATCTGGAGATCAGAATGGGATATGTTAATTTCAAGGTGGTGAGTGGACAACTGAATTCAAAAGACTTAAGTTTGGGAGACAGGTTTGGGGAGTCATTGTCATAGAGAAAGTCACCAGACTGGATGAGAATTCCAGACAGTAAGTGGTGAGAGAAACAGAAGAAGATCAAGGACTGAGCCTGAGAGACTGGGGATATGAGAAGAAGAGCACAGGAGACAGAGAAGAGAATGACCATTATAGGTGGGGGAACATCAGCCACAGGTCCTAGAAGCCACTGGGAAGTCTCCAAAGAGGAGGAAGAATTGGGGACCTCAAGCAGAGGAGGCTTTAGGGTAAACTCGGCTCAAAGAATGTTTAACAGAGGTTATGAGAGGAGAGAATTGGAGATATGAGGCAGGCAATTGGTTTAAATTTTCTGCAGATGCGGCCACAGACAAGGATGGTAGCTGCAGTAACTGAAAGGTAATTTGTTTGTTTTTGAAAATGAAGGAAACAGAACAATGTGTAGATGCTGATGAAAAGCTCTAGCCAAGGGGAGAATGGATGTAGAAGGGGGGGGGTAAGGGAGAGGGGAGAAACACTAGCAGTGATAACCTTGAGTGGGTGGGGAGGATAGGGCTGTAGTGCAGAGGGAGTCATTGAGTTTTCATGGGGCTCATCTGTAGCTGCACTATTGAATGCCAATTGGCCATCATGAATAACAATATTTAAGTTAATAATGTGTGCGAATCTGGAAATTACAGACATAGTTATTTCTCTTTGAATTTGTGCTTATCCTTCCATGTATAATGATATACTAGCATCATAATTTTGGAAGATATATTAAGACAATATTCTTGAGAACTATTGCATCATGGTAACCATATATAAAAATTGATCATGATAGTGGATGACCCAGTGCTCCAAATATCCTCCCAACACTGCAGTTTCTTATTGCATAAAACTTAACAGCAACAACAAACAAAATAAATCCCCTACTCTGTCCTTTAGTGCCTGAATAAATCTGATTTCTCAAGCAGACTTGTTCTCTGCTTTCCCCATCACTGCCAGGATAAATCATTTCCCTCTTTTCCTCTGTACACAGCCCTACCTTCTGCCTTGTGTTAGAGAAAGTTGTTTGCATGCTGTTCTCCTTTCTGAGGCAGAAATTCCTTGAAATCAAGGATTTGATGTGTTCACCCATGTTCACCATTCCCCTGCCATGAAAGAGACTTAAACGTATCAAGTCTTGGTGCATATTTATTCAATGAGTGAATGACTGAAAGAATGAAGCTTGGGCTGTTTAGACATTTATTCCTCTAACTCCTAAGCTCACACAGGTAAGCACATGAATACATGCACACAACTTCCCCACATGTGGCTGCCTTAGGGAGAACTGCTTTGCTAAAATGCACTTGAAATTTCCATTTCCTTTTTCATAGATGCACAGACAATTTACCAGGCTGAAGTAAAGGGAGTTCAGGGTGCACACAGTTGGACAGACATGCTCCTTAGTTTGTCAGGGAAGGAAAAAGCTAAGTTTCAAAAGCACAAAAAGGGGAGGTTTTCTTTTGATCCCAGTGAAAGATGCTTCTACAGCGTTTGGCCTATTTGGAGTGCTGCACCTCACGGGAATAAGATGGTGGCGAGTTCACTGGTTCTGGGTTGGACACTTGGTTTGACACGTAGATAGTCTGGTAGACCACGGTGCCCTGGAAAAGACAGGCACAGGAGGTGCTCTGGTGAGAACTGAGTATGCAAGAATGCCTTTAAACATTACCAAACTCCCTTGTTCCCGGGAAGGAAGGGGAAGCCTGAAGATCCTTCTGGTTTCCATCCTCTTTGGGGCATCTTTTCACCCACTGAGGATCTTTGAACTCACGTAGGAGACCAGTTGGCAGCCAAAGTGGGCACATGTGGAGGCAATGAAGAGCTCCAGGAGGCTGAAGATGAGCAAAACGCCAGAAGTAGCGAATCCAGAGGTCTGGAACCAGAACGAACCGGAAGTTAATTAGTGCTGCTCTGGGAGTATGAGGTCTGCCTCAGAGTATGTCTCTGCAATGGATGGTGGCTATAGCTTAGGGGAAGTCCTATAACTTTGTCTCATGTCATGGATAAAATATCTCACCAGGTTTGGGTGAGGGGCAAACACTGCATGTGTTTGTCAGGAAAGAGTAGTCATTTTTTAGGGCAACACCTTGATACCTTATTTCAGGCACAGGGGACGAGACCTGAGAATGTGGTCTGGAGTCAGACAGTGAGAGAGTGAAACTGTTTTGTGTAGGAAGTGAATAGAAATTTGGGAGCATGGACAAGGAGCAGAAAGGAAAGTGAGAGGGTTAGAGGAGAAAGACAGGACTGAGCCACAGGATGGGAGGTGGAGCCTGAAGACAAAGAAAGGCACGTGGTATGTGAGGGATGTGCCATCTTCAGTCTTCAGTAGTTGCCTGGGCTCAGATGTAAACCTCCACCATCCCTCTGAACCTTTAGGGAAAGTGAGCCAGTGAAACAACCTTCCTGGCTTCTGACAGTGGCATTTTGTGGACTGAAATAATTCAGGCTGTCTTGAATTTAGGGAAAAAGTCAGTTCAAAGACCCCCAAGCTGAACTAGTTCAGCAGTAGTAGAGTTCACCTGAGCAGCAGGAGACATCTCAGCCCTTCCCTGCTCTTCTCCAAGAATACTCAGGAGAATGGGGTCTGTTTCTGTATCTGGGAGAGAGTTAGGGTAGAATCCACTTTAATTTTAAAAGGCAAGGGATGAATAATCCCAATAATCATTTAGATTCCAATTATAGGAGAGAATAAATACAAAAGTGAATGTGCTTGACACATGGTAGGTAACAAACAAATGTTTGTTGATTATGATTTTTAAAATGGTGTGTATAACAGCTAGCTGCTCAGAGAATCCTCCATTTTGGAGACAACTTTCTTAGAAATGTCTTGTTCTCCCTAAATTTAGCAAGTATTTATTAAACATCTGTTTGTTAGAGTGTCTAAGAAGGCATTTTAAGAGACACAATGTAATAAGGGAATCAGGTGCAGTTGTAGATAATTATAATTTACTGCAGACATGATAAGAGCTACAAAAGAGCCAAAAGGTTACCCAGGGCACTGAGGAAACAGAGATCTATGCTGAGGACAAGATTTAAAGACAGGGATGTAGGACAGGATGTCCAGGCAAAGGGAACGCAGGGTGATGATGTGTTAGTCAAGGAATCACAGAAGCTTAGAGAGGAAGAGCCTTTACAAATGATGCTGGACCTTTTCAAATGTGTTTTTAACAACAAAATTCTTTTAAAAATAAAACTTTCTTATAGGAATAGGGTTGGGTGATGGGTGAAAACAATGAAGTGACTAAAAAGTACAAATTGAGAGTTTTAAAGTCAGAGGCAAATAAAGTAAAGTACAGCATAGGGGATATAGTCAATAATATTGTAATAACTATGTGTGGTGTCATACAGGTATTGGAATAATTGGGGTGATTACCTCATAAGGTATATAAATGTCTAATTACTATGTTTTCATGTGAAATTAATAACATTTTGTATGTCAACTGTAATTAAAAAATAAAAAAATAAAAAAGAAATGTTGAACAAGGGAGAAGGGTTCCTCAAGCAGCTTAGGTGATAGTTATTATTTGATGAGTCTTTGTTCATGCTTGTTGAGCCCTTCCTTGGAGCTCCCCATCTCCTGGCTAATCATGTGCAAAGCTGTGATGAAGTTCAGCTGTCCTTGTTCAGATGTTGGCCTGCAGCCAGAGGTGGGGTGGGTGGCTGGGATGGGGTAGTCCTGTTTCCAAGAACAATCATCAGCAAAACTGAGATTGGAAGCCAGGTGGTGACAGCTCCACATGGATTCTGGATGCATTGTAATGGTGAAAGCCACAGGATTGCCTGAGGCATTGTCTGGTAGGTGCAGGAGAAATACAGAGGGGTGATGATTTCACTGAGTTTTCATCCTGAGTGACTGGAAGGATACAGTTGTCATCAGTGGGGAAACAGGAACCCGAGAGAAGGTTTGGGATAAAAAATCTGGAGATCTGAATGGGGTATGTTAATTTCAAGATGGTGAGTGTACAACTGGATTCAAGAGACTGAAGTCTGGGAGATAGGTGTGGGGAGTCATTGTCATAGAGAAAGTGTTTCAAGTCACTGGACAGGATGAGGTTGCCAAAATAGTGAGTAGAGAGAGAAACAGAAGAATGAGGATAAAGCCAGGGAATAATGAAAAGAAAAGTAACAGCAAGGGAGACAGAGAAGAGAGTGACCATTATGAGTGGGGGAACACTAGCGGCAGGGCCTGAAAGCCACGGAGAGGTCTCCAAATGAAATTGGGGACCTTGAGCAGAGGAGGCTTTTGGAGAAGTGAGGCTGAAAGTGTGGTTAGAGTCGGTTCAAGAGAGGTTTTGAGAGGAGAGAATTGGAGACAATTGGAGTGAGGCAGACAATTCTTTATTTCTGCAGACGTGGTTAAGGATCTAGAGTGGTAGCTGCAGTAACTGAAAGGTAATTTGTTTTTGAAGATGAAGGGAAGAGAAGGGTGTGTAGATGCTGATGAAAAGCTCTGGCAAAGGAGGGAAATGGATGTAGAAGACAAGTGGGGACAAGGGAGAGGGGACAAGTACTAGCAGTGATAACCTTGAGTGGGTGGGGAGGACAGGACTGTAGTGCAGAGGGAGTCATTGAGTTTTCATGGGACTCTTCTGTAGCTGCACTTTCTAATCTGGTGGCCATGAGTTCCCTGAGGACTTGAGATATGATGTAAATGCAAGATACACACTGGATTTCAAAGACATGGTCCCCAAAATGCAATATATTGAATTAATCATTTTTTAGATGGATTACATATAGAAATGAGATTTTTGGATTTATTGGGTTAAATAAATGTTGTTAAGATTAACATCAACTGTTCCATTTTTTCATTTTATAGTGTGGCAACTTGAAAATTTAAAATCACATAGATGGCTTACATTATGTATCCGTTGGATAGCACTGGCCTAGAACCTGAGATAACTCATTCATTTATGTATTTCTATGTCTGCTTTCACACAGGCTTGAGTAGTAACTACAGAGACTAGATGGCCAGCAAATGCCTTAAATATTCGCCCTCTGGTCCTGTACAAAAGACCTTTGTTGACACCTTTGTCCATAGTAGTGAGTGAGAAGGAGCCTGTGAGTAGAGGTGCAGCTTGGTGGGTACCTGTGTGTTACATGTAGAACTGCATTTAATTCTTCCCCAGTGACAGAAGGTTTCTAAACACAGAAACTAAGATTTAGTAATGTCACACACTTAGAGTAACAGCAATAAAGCTCCAGGTCAGGGACTTGAAACTCTGTTCTGATTCTGGCAGCACCTCTGTTTGCTGTAGTGCCTGGTGAAGAAGCTTGGTGGTGAATGCCTTTCCAGGGATTTTCTAAAGACAACTGAGCTGGACACAGTGGTCAAGAGGGATACTCACAAGTGACCTGTCGGAGTTACTATATCTGGCGTTGACAGCCAAATCTACGATGTAGGTACAGATTCCCGCCATGGAAAAGATTCCACTGAGGATATTCATGCCCAAGCCGCCCTTCAGCTGAAGAAGACACAGAGGGTCAGGGTGGGAGAGGAAAATGATTATAGCTGAGATGAGCAGAGTCTCAATAAGTGTTTCTTAATGTCAATTCTGGGAACCCTAGTTCTGCAGCAAGTAAAGAGGTGTACTGTGCAAAAAAGTTTGTGGGCAAATGAACAATGGAAAAACCTGAACTGAATAAAGTTAAACAGGTTTGATGTGCAAGACCTCTCAGATCCTTTAGGAAAAATTATATATGTTCCAGTGATGGACTATTAAATAGTGATTTTTGCCGCCAAGTTTACCTAAACATCTTCATAACATGTCTCGTGTGGTAAGTGTCCCCAAGGATAATCTTTGGGAAACACAGATAATCTTTGGGAAACATTTGACCCATTTATACCCTGAGAGTTATGCAGGAAACTCAGACCCAGTGTCTTGGGATGTGACTGTCTCTGATGCTCCACAAGTGTGGGCCAAGAGTAGAAAAGCATGCCCAGAATTCAGCTTCCTTTTGAAGACTTTCAAACTGATCTCATCTGGTGTGGGATCTGGCCATCCTGGGGCCCTTGTCCTAGACAACCTGCTGTGAGACAAACAAAGGTACTTTCTTGGTCCTTTGTTAAGGGATCACAGAGCCTTGTTCATTTGATTCATAGACCCTGGTTGGTTGCATTCTTAGGGAAGCTGCTGCCTGAGCTTCCACTGGCTTCCCTGTAGAAGTGTCTGGAGGTTAGCTCTGTGCACTGCAGGCAGTCTCAGCACCCTGCTCAGCTGGAGGGGAACCCTGTGCCCCAGGAAGCTTTTTGTCTTTTCCTGTAAGATCCTCTGACTTTCTCTCTTTCCCACCCTGATGCCTTAAAGGTGTCTGCATTTCCCTTCCTTCCCCCGAATCTTCTGGACTCTTTCCCACTTGTGACTTGGCCAGGTTGGTGTGGTCCTGCATGTGAGTATGAGTGAGCATGCATGTCAGTGCCCTGTGTCTGGTTATGAGTAGGTGCATGGATGGAGGAGGGATTGTGTGTTAGCTTCTTTCCTTTGTAGTGTGTCCCTGCTATAGGTCCACAGCTGGGAGAGCCTGTCTCAGGATGTGACTTACCACACAAGGAGAATTTGGCTGCTCCTCTGATGCCACTGAGAGGGATCCTGAAATGATGAACTGGGACAGAAGAGGGAGTTTAGAGAGAGGTCAGTGGTCTGGTTCCCCCTTCAGGCTCCAGGGATTATGGTCACACACAAAATTCTCTCACACATGCTAGGTTCCTCTGCTGGGTCCTCTAGCTCAACATGAATGAATGAATGAATGAATGAATGAATGAGTGAACTGTTTTACAAAAGATGACAGGGTGTTGAATTGGAATATAGATTCTAGGATACAACCCATCCAATTTTAAATTCTAGGGTGAAACTCATGTGATCTTGGGCAAGTTACTAATTTCTCCAACTGGTAATTTTCTCATACAAAATGAGAAAAACTGTATGTCTTCTTCCTAAGTGTCATTGCCATGAGGTAATTTGTCTCTTGCACTTGACATTTGTTATTTCTTTCCCTTGGTAGGTCTTGTACACAGTAGACACTCAGAAATTTCCTTCTTTCCTTATCTTTTATTTCCCCACATGCACAACTTCTTCCCAAAAATTCAGTCAGGCACGGGGGCTGTTGTTGAGACAGGGAAGAGATTCCCCAACATCATCCTTGCCTGTCTATAATTTGATGACTCTCTTTTGGTTACTGAGGAGTATGTTGCATCTCTATGGTGCTGAACATCAAACACAAGACCAATGGGGTACACTGTGTGCATGTACTTCAGCACTCATGCTCTGCAGGTGCAGTGGCTGATGGGGTGCCCTGCTATCACTAACGGTCTGAGAGGGCATTGGCTAGTGTTTAATGAAAGGTTTGCTGAGCCCTACATGAAGTGCTTCCAACCTTGCCTTATTTAGCTGTACAATGGCCCATCAAGCACTATTACTCTTCCCATTTTATAGAAGGGTGGCCTGAGGCTTGGAGGTTTCAAGTAACCCACCTGAGACCATCCAGCAAGTAGCAGATATGGGAATCTAATCCAGGTAGTTGACTCCAGATCCCATGATCTTAACCCTCATCCTACACTCCTTTCCCCTCAGAGTGGATGCATGAGCCATGTAGTGGAATTGGGTGTTTACAATGAAAACTGGCTCTGGCTGCCTGACCTTCTAACAGGAATGCCAATTCTCTTGTAAGTGAATAATAAACCTCAATCTTACATACCTGAGTTTATGGAGACTTGATGGGGAATGAAGGAAACAGAAGGCTGGACTTCTGATGTTCCTGCTGGTTCCTTTGAGGAACCCAAGGAGATAGATCTTGGTTCGTAGGAAGATATTAATGATCTTGAGGAAATAGGAGGATAGTCCTGTAGTCAAGAAGGCAACAAAGAGAAAACTCTTTGCAGAAAAAGGGAAAGAGGATGTCATGAGGGCTGATGGGCCCTGAGCAGCAGCCTAGTGAAAGTAGAGATGGCTACCAAGGCATCTGAGATACTGGGCAGCCACAGGGCTCTTAAGAATATGAGACTTGAGAGGCTGTAATGCTCAATGGCAACTGCTCTGTGGCTGTGGTAGTATCTTCTCCATGGCCCCAAGCCCCACTGCAGTGTGTTATGCAGACACAGGTGCTTGTAGCTAAGTGGAGGAATCTGGGCTGAGTTCCCAGTCTGGGTCTGTGTAGAACTGAGAGGGGACCTCAGCCTCAGAGGTGAGACACAAATGGGAACAAGAGAGAGCCAGTGTTAGGCAAAAGTGCTCCCGGGAATGTGAGTCCTGCTGTTTTACAGATGCCATATGTCCAGGAGGGTGATAAATTACTCCAGGCTGTTTTATGGGACAGGGTGACTTGGCTGATGGCCAGGTTAGTCTGGAGTTGTGCCATTTGTGAGAAAATTTGCACTGAGTCACAGAGAAGTGTGTGATTTGGGAGACAGACTGTGTTATAGCAGGGAGGTGAAGGAGATGGGTGGTGGGAGGGAGGAGAAGGAGGGACTGTGAGTGGCTGTGTGTTTGCAGGAGGGAGGACACTGAGGAGATTGCAAGAGAATCATAAAGGTGAGACACTGGGAAAGGGAAAGGACCTGAGGTCTTCACTTTTTAAGGTTTATTGATTACCCTGAGAATGTGACAAAAACTATGGACTTTTCCAGAAAAAGGTAATCATCTAATATACCAAATATTTTGCTAAAAGTGGAACTCTGAGGCTATCTGTGAACACCAGGTTGAGTCCCCTCTTCTTGATGACTCTTCTGTGGCTGGGCATCCACTCTCAACAAGTGGTGGAAGTGGTTCTCTCCTGGAGCTCAGGCTGGGGCCCTGCACTGATCAACCCTTGAGCCAAGTTCCCAATATGTCATTCTTTGTGTGGATTAGAAAAGATGCTGCCTCTGGCCTCATGATCCAGAGGAAGGTTTCCTGACCTCTGAGGTGGGCTAATCAGGAAAGGTGCCCCGTCTGGGTCCATGGAGCCTTACAGGGCTGTCACTTGGTGTTATGAGCTGAATTGCATCCTCTCAAAATTCACCTTTTGAAGCCCTAACCCCCCATACTCAGAATGTGAGTGTAGGGATGGTTCCAGGTGCACGCTGGTTGGACTTATGATTTTGTTGACTTGACAATGGTGTGAAAGTGATATACCTTCAGTTGAACTGTTCTTTAGGTTTTGAATACTGATCTTTCCCTGGGTGAGTGGTATAGAGTTGGATATTCTTGTGTGATGAAGGACAGTGGCAGTCAGGTAGAGCTCTATATCAGACGTTCTCTCACAATGATGAACAACTCATACACCACACAATGCATTATTCAATGCATTTTTGACTTAGGATTTTTTCAATGTATGATGAGTTTATTGATACATAACCCCATCATTAGCTGAGGAGCATCTGTATTTGAGGATAAGACCTTTAAGGAAGTGATGAACAGTAAATGAGGTCACATGGCTGGACCCTAATCTAATATGATTGGTGTTCTTATAAGAAAACACACTAAAGCATAGACCCACACAGACCTTGTGAAGACACAGGGAGGAAGACAACCCTCTACAAGCCAAGGAGAGAGGCACCAGAGGAAACCACCCTGCTGACAACTCCATCTAGGACGTGTAGTCTCAGAAACTGTGAGATAATAAATGTCTGCTGTTGAGCCTCCCAGTCTGTGGTATTTGTTCTGGCTGCACAAGCAGGCTAATGTTCTTAAGTGAAGAAGGCGTGAACTGGGTTCACAGGCCACATGATTACTTGACTGGAAAACTCCTGCAGCAAAGTATGCAGCTTGACAAGGTGGCCCTGAGTGTGTTGGTAGTTTCAGGAACTCACTTGCATGGTAACTCTCAATACTTACCGAGATACCACCCCAGAAGGCACAGCCTATAATAAATGAGACAGGTTCATAGCGCACATGCTGGGTGGTCCCCAAGATGCTGCCAAGACCAAAGTGTATCAGCCCAATCAGGATCTGGAGCGCCTGTCAGGGGAGCCACAAGTTGAGACCTTTGTTTCTGTGGTGAATCCTTTCTCCCAACCCCCTCCCTTGCCTCCTTTATATTTTTAATATATTTTTTCTTGGTTTAGAAAATAATATGGAAAATGTAAAAATGAAATGAAAACTACCCATAATGTCTCCCCGGTCAGAAATAACAACCACTTACATTTGGGTGCATAACTTTCCATTAACTTTCAAATATTTGCACTGATAATACATAATGTCTCTGGAGTAGGTGGAACAGAGATATTGGGCAGGTAAGATGGTTTCTATGTTTTCTTATTATACACAGCACTGTGATGAACACTTTTGTAGGTAAGTGTCTCTACTCATCCCATTTCTTTGCAATATTGTTTGAATATAATTTTGTCTGACTCTCTTCCATCATATTGATATTTTGAAGTTCTGGTCTCCAGGGCCTCAGAACAGGACCTCATTTGGACATAGGATTGTTTAGGTGTAATTATGTAACACAAGGTGTCCTGCAATAGGGTGGTCCCTAATCCTATAGCACTGCTATCCTTTCAAAAAAGTGCCATGTGAAGAGACACACATGCACACAGGAGAATTCAAGGTTGGAGTTCTGCTGCCTCAGGCCAAGATCACTGGAATCTTGGAGACTGGTCAGGGTAGATCTTCCTCTCGAGCTTCAGAGGGAGCATGACCCTATTGTCACCACCGTGATTAGAAGCTTCTGGTCCCCAGACTGTGATACAGTAAATTTCAGTTGTTCTAAGCTATCCCATTTGTAGTACTTTGTTATGGCATCTCTAGGAAAGTACTATATATTAATGCCCAAATGGTATACATACATTCATATGTATATATGTATATGTGTATATACTACAAACATGGTGGTGAATACAATTATATTATTTCTGTAAATTTGCACAATTTTTGGTAAAGTATATGCAGTGTCTGCCTCTAATTTTTTCCCAGTAATGATATAGCTTGGAGGTAGGTCCATATTATTATGAAGGAACATTTTTATAAATAGCTCCAAAATTTCATTCTTGGATGTATAATACATTGACTTAAACAATATTGTAGTGATGGATATTTTGGTTGTTTCCATTCTTTTCTTTCACAAACCATGGTTATAATAAATAACCTAATGCATGCCCTATTTCTCATGTGCATGGAACTATGGTCCACAGGACAAAGTCTCAGAAATGGAATTATTGGGTATTTTAAAATTTGGCAGATACAGTTATTCCTCCATACAGATTGTATTTATCGACATTCCAATGAGTGGTACATGGATGTGTAGCTAGAATATGAACCTGAGCGGCCTTGATCAGAATCCTTGTGTGTCATTATTTAGCTGTGCAATGAAACAGGCCTTCCCCTGTCCTACTCAGGATAGCTCCTCAGGGCAAAAATCACTGTGAGCTCTTATTTTGCTGCCATTGGGCAAAGATTCCATTCAAGGACATTGGCTTTAGACTCCCCCTTTTGGTCATTTACTGCTCCATTATCTTCCAGAGGCCACATGATCAACATGGATTCTGGGCAACAGGAAAAACCTTTTAATTTTCTGCTTCTTTGTTGCTTTTCTTTTTCTTTTGTAAAATGCCTAAGTTAGGTAATATAAGGCCTCATACTGAGGCCCTGGTGATGCTAGACAGCTGAGCATCCTAGTAGACCTGACTTTGGCAAGGCAGGGTAGCTCCAGCTCCACTTGCTGGATTTTCCATTTCTGTATTTCCAACCCTTCTCTCTCCCCTTCCTTCAGCAATGTGGTCCCCAGCCTGTGGTGTGAATTCTCACTTACCCCTAAGGTTTTGCCTTCTTTGAAGCTTCTCTGGGCTGGTGGTGGACTGGCAGGTGTCTGCAGGCCAGGTTGGTTCCCAGGAATTAGGTTGACTTGGGGCTGGTTGTGTGGATACATGGTCACCTGAGTCGTGCTCTCTGGAATTACAGAGTGTGCATTGTGGGGTGCTGCCATAAACACAGTATTAGCCACGGGTCCTGCTGAAGTCATCAAATTCATGCTGCTAGAAAATAAATGCACTTGAATCATGCATCACGTGTGCTGTGATGTTTACATTGAAAAAGAACTTTGTCATCATTAATTCAGTTGAACATTGCAACCCTTTAAAGGGAGACAACAAAGGGCTTATAGACAGGACCCTGAAATGTCAACATGCCTTCAAAGAGTTAAAAGTTAAACTAAGCAGTGCACCTGCCCTAGCGATGCCAAATTTAGAAAGACCGTTTACCCTATAGTAGCAGAAAAATAGGAAATGGCACTTGGGGTTCTCACCCATAAATTAGGTCTGACTGTAGGGCCAGGAGCTTACTTCTCAGAACAATTAAATCCTATCACAGGCTGGTGGCTTTGTTTTCTTATTTTTTCAAAAATAATATAGTACATAATTTATAAAATAACATATTTTAATATTCTCAAATCAAACACAGTATTCAGTAAATGGTCACAGAGCTTTGATGTCTATGTTTTGACCCACCTCCTATGTTGTAAGAAACATTTTTGTTTTATAGAAAATTTGTTTCCAATGTGCTATTGGGCTGTAAGTTGTCTATTACATCTCAAAAGGAGAAAGATGAGTGGAATAGATTTTGCAGTTTAACTATCAGAGGACATAGTTAAACTACAAAAGTTTTCTTCTACTGCATAGTTTTCTTTTACATTTTAGTAGTAGAAAAAAAATTCATCAATGCCCTGGCTGGTGCAGCTCAGTGGGTTGAGTGCTGGCCTGTGAACCAAAGTGTCACTGGTTGATTCCCAGTCAGGGCACATGCCTGGGTTGTAGGCCAGGTCCCCAGTGGGTGGCACACAAGAGGCAACTACACATCGATGTTTCTCTCCCTCTCTCTCTTTCTTTTCCCCTCTCTCTAAAAATAGATAAATAAAAATTTAAAAAATTCATCAAAAGCTCAGTAGATAAATTAAGGATTCCATCATAAGTCTTGGGATATAGGCTGTGCATTTGTTTGTCTGTTTTCTAATTTTTTAATTCTTGACACTGTTACAGATGCTCCCCATTCTGCCCCCCTCGTTTGCCCATCTCTCCACCCAGCTCCTGCCACGCCCTCCCCTGGCCTTCACCACACTAGTGTCTCTGCATATGGGCTATGCATATATGTTTTTTGGCTAATCTCTTGACCTTCTTTTATCCAGTCCCCCACTCCCTCCCCCTGGGATTGTTTACAAGCTGTAGCAGCCACTGCTCTTTGAGTAAGAGAGGCCAATAAGCTTACTCTAGGGCAGCCATCAGAGGTTCAACACCCCCATCAAGTACACGCTGTGTTAGAAATCAAGCTTCAATAGCTTGTGGCAGTGGGAAGGCTACGTAAATATTGTAACAGGAATTAAAAATTTTATACAACTTGGACTTCCAGCAAGATGGAGGAATAGGTGGACGCACCGTACCTCCTCGCACAACCAAGATTAGAACAACAATAATTTACAGATAGAATAACACCCAGAACTGATAAAGGATTTATTTTAATGGAAGTCAGACAGCCAAGAAGTTGAAGTAGACCCATACATCCAGACTGGTAGGAGAAGAGGAGCCAGGCAGGCGCAGGGCTGGCGCGGGTTGGCGGCGGCACGCGGAGGTCAGGGAAAATTTGGCGTGAAATCAGCGCGACAGCCATCTGGGGCACAAGAACGCAGCAGTGATCCCTGAGTATGCAAGCTGCGGCTGGCGGACCCAGTGAGGCAGCGATTGTGGACCAGGGCAGAGCTCGCGGCCCAGGATCCCAGAGAAGGGTCTGAGCCCAGGAGAACGGAACTACCACCATTGTTCCCGCCCGTCCCCGCTCCCGCCCCCGCCCCCACATATAACGTCACAATCTAGCGACTGGGGTGCGCTGTCCTAGTGAACACCTAAGGCTCCGCCCCCACCATAACAAGAGGGACCAGACCAGGGGGAAAAAAAAGGAGAGAGAGGGAAAGACATGTTTCCAACAGAACAGATCAGTCCCCCAGGACTCATCCTTTTGAGTGACTAAGAAATAGCCAGTCTATCAGATGCACAGTTCAAAACACTGGTGATCAGAAAGCTCACGGAATTGGTTGATTTTGGGTGCAAATTAGATGAAAGGATGTAGGTTACCATAAAAGAGATGCAGGAAGATACGCGGAGGAGAGACAATACTGAAAGGAAGGAATCTGAGCCTCAAAACAATACAGTGGACCAGAAGGAAGAGAGAATCAACCAAGCAGAAAAGCATAATGAAATAAGAATTCAAAAAAATGAGGAAAAGCTTAAGAGCATCCAGGACACCTTTAAACGTTCCAACATCCGAATTATAGGGGTACCAGAATGGGAGGGGAAAAGCAACAAATTGAGCACGTATTTGAACAAATAATAAAGGAGAACTTCCCCATTCTGGCAAAGGAAATAGACTTCCAGGAAATCCAGAAAGCTCAGGGAGCCCCAAAGAGTTGGACCCAGAAGAAGCACACCAAGGCACATCATAATTACATTAGCCAAGGTAAAAACGAAGGAGAGAATCCTAGAAGCAGGAAGAGATAAGGGGACAGTCACCTACAAAGGAGTTCCCATCAGACTGTCAGCTGATTTCTCAAAAGAGACCTTACAGGCAAGAAGGGGCTGGAAAGAAATATTCCAAGTCATGAAAGACAAGGACCTACAGCCCAGATTGCTCTATCCAGCAAAGCTCTCATTTAGAATGGAAGGGCAGATAAAGTGCTTTTCAGATAAAGTCAAGTTAAAGGAGTTCATCATCACCAAGCCCTTGTTTTATGAAATGCTAAAGGGACTTATCTAAGAAAAGAAGATAAAGAAAAGACATGTATAGTAAAAGGAGAGCAAACTCACAATTATTAACAACCACACCTAAAGCAAAACCGAAAGAAACTAAGTAGACAACTAGAACAGGAACAGAACCACAGAAATAGAGGGCACATGGAGGGTTAGCAGCAGGGGGGTGGGAGGAGGAGAGAGGGGGAAAAGGTATAGAGAATAAGTAGCATAGAATGTAGGTTGAAAATAGATGGGGGGGGCAAGAATAGTACGGGAAATGTAGAAGCTAAAGAACTCATAAGTATGACACATGGACATGAACTAAAGGTGGGGGGGAACGTGGGTGGGAGAGGTGCTACAGGGTGGAGGGGACAGAAGGGGGGAAAAATTTTATACAACTTTGATGAAATGTTAAATCCAGCTTGTTACTGTAACCCAAATTTTTTCTCTCAAAACTAGAGCTTACGTGTCAAAGGTTTTTATTATGTACACTTTATAGGAACCACAGTTTCAGTTCCTGTGTAAACCTCAGCAGCAGCCTGACCTCAGGACCCAGAAATTCAGCTAAAAAGAAACCAGATGGCCAACTCAAGGATGCTGACCACAAGGGCCCACATCGAGGCCTATCGGGAGACATCCTGCATGTCCACAACCCCTCCCCTTGATTTCTTTGCTTTGTTTTCCCTCCCGAGAAAACCCCTGTCTGCACTGAGAGGTAAGGATGGGCTTTGGGATGATTTGCCCATCTCTCCAGGTGGCAGGCACTTGATTAAACTACTTTCCTGGACGTCCATGTTACCCTTAGGTGTCATGAAAATAAGAGGGGGCACCTAAAAAAAATTACAAGTGAGACCCCTTGAATTCACCCAATGGTGAGTGTTTTCTCAGATATGATGTGCTGATAGATAATATCCAGTTGTTATGCTACATCATTAATGCAGGACAGGCACAAAAGGTATTACAAGAGTATGGAAATAAAATTCCACCTGTCTTTGATAAAGACTCCCAACACAAACAGGTTAAAGTGGTGGACATGGTCTATTGAAAAACCTGGAGGGACAACCGTCCTGAGTCCCAACAACAACCCAGGTGGAAGGGTCTACATCAAGGCCTACTAGCACTCTGATTTTAGTGAGCTCATAAAAACAGTCAGTTGGGGTCATTTATCTCAAATTAAACCTCTTTTTTGTGAGTCTCCACAGGAACCATAATCTGAGACCCACTCTTGTGAACCCATCAAGGACCCCAAGCTCCTCTTCAGGAAACAAGACCTGTTACAGGTAAATAACATAATAGCTGGGTCTTAATGTAATGGTCTTTCTCATATTTTTGACACTCTTTCTATTATCCTGTTAGTATGCCCAGCTTCTTCACCCAGGAAAAAAATTTTCCATAAACTACACTCAAATTATTCAAATTTTAACTAAAAACATTTATCATTCCTATTTTCATATCTGTACTGTACTGCAGACCCCTACAAAGATAGTGGGGACTAATATACTGGTAAACTTTTCCAATACCATTGCTGGTGAAAATCAACTTCTCAATTGCTGGCTGTTCCATGAACAATCAAACTCAAGACTCCTCCCACCCAGGTTCAACCTACAACCCTCAGTGTAAGTCTAACTCTGTTATTAAGGTTCGTCTGTTATTAAGGTTCGTCAGAAATTTTGAGAAAGCCAGTCCTTTTGTAGTAAACTTCTCTCTAGATCCTGATGGTTTTCCTTGTACCAACCACACCACGGTCATTAATCAGACTAATAATCAGTTGATATTAAGGTTCTTATATAAGACCCTTACAGAACTCTGCTGTCATTGTGATATGTCTAACGAATGTGTCACTAAACTTGAACTAGATAATTCTGTCTTGACTTTGATATATCCAGACTTTCTGACAATGTTTTTTTGTACTTTTCATCTGACACACTAGTGTCCACTAGACTACTGGGCCAAATTGAATGTCTGGAAAACTAATTCTCAAAATGACCTCCAGAATAGCTGCTGTTATTTGTGAGAAAAACTAATATTAAGTGGAAACTCATTTACCAAGTCCCCAGAGCACATAAAACACCATAGGACCAAGGTACTGTCACCTGAAAGGAGGGACCCTTTCCACAACTGCATAGAAAAACCTGCTGAGGGATACAAAACCACAGTTAGAGATCAAGGGCATTT